TGGACTCACTCGCAGACTCATCAAAATTTTCCTGAGCTGAACTCATTCAGACTCACGAAAATATTACTCAACCTTACTCTTTTAGACTCACGGCTCGATCTTAGTTCGAGTGACTCGACACATGAGTGAGTTCACCGAGCCATAGTGGTTACGAACAACGGCGGCGGTGGACAAATACAGCGCACGCGACACTTGTGATCTCATAGACAACTTTCATCGTAAAAAAAAAAGTCTCACTACTTCCCGAGTTTTACGCATTAAAAAGCTTCAGAGAAAGTATACACATTGCAGTAGCTTGAGAGACGAGCACTTGCTTTCTACCTGCAAGAAGTTGTGTCTCTCCATGCTTTTACGTTTCCCGTCTGCTTGCAACTTTTGTGCGTATAATGAAATACGCCTTTTTTGACTTGTTTCCTCGTCTCAACTATGCTCTGCTCTCTTCTGTTTAAACAATACTGTCGGTCGAAAATGATTGTTTCGATGTTGATGACTTAATGTATTTAACCTATATGTAGTGCACCGTTACTTTCTCGTGAACACCACCATGCGGCGTTTCATTCTCTTGCCGCGCTGAAGTGATCGCCTGTACGTTACGTAAATTTATACTGATTCAAATAGAGTGTGAGTATGCGTGTCACACGAACGGCATTCAATGTCTCGACAGTCCGTAAAAAAATTGTTCAGCTGAGCCACGCTTCTACCGCCAACTCTGTTCGGCGTGCGAGGAAAAAAAACTGAAAAAAAAACTTGCCTGTCTGAACAACAATGGTTGACGCCGCAAAAAGAGAGCAGTTTTCGGAGAAGACAGCTGCTTGAATTGTTGCGTAAGTCGGCGCGTTTACGGGGAAACGTAAACCAGCGCCGCTTCTTCTGCGCGGACGGTTGTGAAAGGAAAGAAGGAAAAAAAAGAAACAAAAGAAGAAACGCAGAAATAAACTTGCTTGTCAAACGCGGTTAGCAGCTGTGATTCGACGCTCGCAGTTTCACTAGTCCGAAAAATGTACTCGCGTGAAACCGTCCGAATATACGGTGCGACACTTCAAAGCGCTGATAGAGAGCGGCAAGGCTGCGTTTGTCAATTGTACTTGCAGCCCAATCTAAAACTTTTTGTAGGCGTCTCGATGGCATGTAGGTAAGTCTGCGACACCGTGCAGAGGAGGCCCCAAAGTTATGTACAGTCAACCAACGAAGCCTTATTGCCAACCCTTTCACTTGAAGTGCTCGCATCAAATACTTCAAAAAAAAAAAAAAAAAAAAACGCCGCCTATACTATAACGCCGTGAGGTTTATGACGGAAAACCACACTTTGGCATCTCAGAGGGGCGAGAAAAAAAGAGACCTTTATTCCTATAGCATCGAATAGATGCCTGCAAGAACGTATTTTGCATAACCCAACGTTTCTCTTTCTTCGTCATTTCCGAAATCATTCGAAGCAAGTGGCTTCCCCACGGGTGTTAGAGAACATTTTCCGCACATTTTTCTCTACCCTTCGCTCGGGTTCTCCCCGTCACATATAAGGTCCGTTCGATTCACCTGCACCAATTGGAACCAGTTCACGGCTGTGCAAGCGAAGTTCAGAAATTGTGCAGCGTGAGTTCAGCGGCGCAGACACAGCGCGACCCCCGAAACGAATGACGATGTGCCAACAGTGTGCAGGCCTTATTTCTCTTCGCTTAATTTACACCGTACAGCTAACAATGAACGATGGCGAAACACACATCTGGACAGTTTATGAGGCGCGAACATATTGGCAAAACACACCGCATTTGTAGAGGCGGGTATGACGCCTAAGCCACCTACGCCTAAGTGCTGCGTCGTCTGCTCAGCTGCACATGCGGCTGCACCAAGCCGGCACCGTCAGCGTAGGAGGTGCAGGAAAATCTTGAACCAGTGCTGCACCTTTTGAAACGAATGACAGGGTTCAAAGGTCGTCAATGCTGCACCACTAAAACGAATGGCAAAGTGCAGCACCCCGTGAACTGGTTCACGTGGTGCAGGTGAATCGAATGGACCTATAATCACCTTGCGGAGTAGCCAGCCAGTAGCATGGACATCGACAGGATTTTGTCTTGCACTCCTTAAAAGTTTTCCGGAGGAACTGAGCAGTTAGCCCGAAAAGCACTTTGGTCCTCCAAAAGACGAAATAAAGTTTGCACACGACACAGTAACGAGGGGCGCTTTCATTTTTGTTGAGTAAAGCGGCCCTTTTTTGGTTCGTGCCGTGTGCAAATGACTTATCGGTGCCTACACTAACCTGTTTCCCCTCCAGACGGTGCCATGGCGTGGTGTGGTGTAGTAGTGGTTAGTGTACGCACATGTTGACTTTGTGGTCGTGAGCTTGCATCCCGTGCGTTTGCTGTAAATTTTCCACAATTTATTTCTGAATGTAATACTTGGCCATCGATTCTCTCAACCCGTACAACACATTGTAGTGGAATGTTTATTATTTTATTAAGGCAAAGGTAAGCTCATGCCTCTCATACACAGATAAACTTTAGCGAAAAGCCAGCGTCGGCTCGAAATCGTGGAAAAGTGGGGAGATCTCAAGTTTCGCCTTTAAGAGTTGAGTGCGACAGTGTTAAACTCACACACGCACGATATTGTCTTCCCAATTGATTGGGAGCCTAATTATATCCTTGGTTAAGACCTACATTGTGCTGCAACGAAGTAGAAAGGGCAAACACCTTCCGGCCCCTATAGGTAGCTTTATTTGCATCTACCACGAAACTTCTCTCAACCAAAGACACCGGGGCAGGCGTCGTCGACACCAGGATTTCTGCTAAGCGAACGCTGTCCCATTAAAGGAGAAAAATTACACCATCTCCCGCTAAACGGAACCATGCGTAGATTCGAAGCAGCAGGCGTTAACTCTTTTACACTGGCAGCGACGGTGACGCTAGCTAGCACTTATTGCGGCGTTGCGCAGGAGAAAAGCCTGGGGAAGCGCAAAGCACGCAGTAGTAGATTAGTTTTTTTCCTTCTGGAACACGCCAATCGCTGTTAATGGGCAATGATAGACAGAAGACTCCGACTGGACGCAGAGACCCGCAGTCCGGTTTTAGTTGAAGCGCATGCCGCGAATTTCTCTTGTTCAACCACGCGCACGAGAAATCTCCCACCGGCACTACCTTGGAAGCCAAGACCCAGTACCTACATTTACGGGGTGGCCAGTTAACGGTTGTGCAGCGCGAGCAGTCAGTTTTTTTAATATAAAGAGTACCTCATGCTCTCCCATAGTAGAGTACCAGATACTCTAAATCACTAACAACTTTTTCCAAACACACCAACTCGCAAGCAGACGATACCTGCGTCAGCATTGTGAGGTGAGAGAGGGGGAAGCATAGAAGAGGAGGAGGCGCTTCTGCACAATGAGGGTGTAAACACTGTGAGAAAGAACTACTAGGGGAGAGAGAGGGGAAGCGACACTAGGCTAGCAGATGTTGCCTACGTTGGCGTTGCGAGGCAAGAGAGGGGGGAGGGTAGGAGAGGACAAAGAGGAAACAGACGCACATGCGCAGCAAAGGGTGGTCACGCCGCACACCAGATTGAGCTCGACCACAAGACATTTCACATCCAAAAGAAGACTAACAGAAAGCGCTCACTGGGAGCTCACTTCACCATGGCGAAAGCTTGAAGCCGAGGCAATGAAGAAGAAAATGAACACTGTGATCCCGAGGGGCAGCAGACATACTCTGCTTCTACATGATGAAATGCTCCTGGTGAAGCGTCGTTAGCCGCTGATGGGAGAGAATATAAAAAGATCATCACACTCTGATGGGACGTTCAAGTCATCAACGCGACGCCGCTAAGGTTTAGCCTTCGGATAATCTTAGCGATAGTGCAACAGATCTTCAGATTTCTTCTTATTTTTTCATGCTCAATATATCGTCGAGGTATTGCAAAGGAATTGTTGTTATAATTTTATTTCAATACGCAAACGGACAAGGACGTACACAGAGAAAATAATAGAGGAGCAGGCTGGCGAATGGCACTTAGATGGACACGACGCCTACCTGCTTATTCGGGAAGAGGGGAACATATAGGAAAGGAAGACAGGAGGAAAGAAAGAAGAAATGAGAAAAAAAAACAAAACAATTAACACATGTGGAGACAAATTTAACACGAAAAAAAGGCGGTGTGTTGCATAAAATGCATAATGATAGAGTGAAATGTGGACTTGTACGTTATACAATATTAAAGAGAAATTGTTAGTGAGATAGAAATATTGAAGAGGACAAGTTCTAAGAAAAGATTATTGTTATTAGTGATGCAGTGACGTGAACCTACACATTCACCTCGACAGCTGCCCTTTTCAGCTCTGTGGGACTAATGTAGCGTTCCTTCTATTTGAAGATGGCGCTCTTTCATGATGATGTAATTTTTACATGATTCGAATGCCACGAAACATCAGGAGCAACTAGGGGCTTAGAAATTCGACGTGACTGATGTTAAACCAATAAACAATAATGGCTCCGCAGGTGATCACGGCAAAGTGGCATCCACGACATTGTTTTCAGATTTTCATTACCTTCTGTTAGGCACAATACTTATTTTTTACACTGCTACGTATTATAGTGTGGAGTCAGCGCTTCCATGACTTCTTTTTCTAATCAGAGCTTTTACTTCGTCTGGGACATACCTACCGTTCATGCAGCTAGAAAATGAAAGGTGCATAATATTTTCAGCCATACTATTCACTGTGTTTACCCTAAATGTAATATTTGTGGTTTTTGAAATACACAATTGACTCTATGCAACAAGTTAGGTTATTCAAAGTAAAACTGTACACTTCTTTTTTGTTATAACCTTTACATTTTTTTGAATAAAAACTATTCAAAACTTTTTCTTGTGGAAAATACTGCTAATAACAACATTATCTTGTGTGAAGAGTTTATTGAGATGCGTTGAAGTTGTGTTGAAATGTGGTTGAAATATATAATCTGTGTTCTGACCTTCTGGTTTTGTCGCGCGTGCAGTAGGCTAGCCCAGCAACCATGGGTACCCTTCATTTTGTTAAGATGTTTTAACGCCGCCCGTGCGTCGGTGATCGTCAAATAACGTCGTATCTGTTGACGCTCACATAGTCCTACCGTACCTTCTCGCTCGCCCGCTTTACGGGCGATTCGTTTCAAGTTCGGTGCCTTACATGATGGGAAGATCACGCAGCAGAAGCAGGAGTCGCTCTCCCAAGCTCGCGAGGCACAAAAACAAGCGGCCGCGAAGGCGGTCGCACTCTAGAGGACGGAGCCGCGACAGCGTCAGCAGAGCACTGGCTGCTAAACTCAACGACCGCAGACCAAGGTAGAGCCTTTCTTTCATGTCTGTTAAAAATATTCATCTATCGCTACGGTTTCTTGGAAGTTACGTAATGCGGATAACTGTTTTCATCTATCTCGACGGGCATATTCGCCCGCGAGATTTCCCTAGTAAGAAGGAAAGGGTCGCAGGACATGTCGACATATCTCTTAATCTTGTTTGCCCCTTTCTGTTTCTGTCGTAACGATGATTGTTCTCGCGGTCAAAATGTGCGAGTTTTCCTCCTATTTGAGGCGAGCAACTGCTAATGGCAACGTTAGCGCCCCAGAGTATCCCATACGGACGTAAGAAGCCAGCACGGTTTTCTGTGAGTAGGAGCTCGACACTGTTTACTTTTCTAACGCGGCTGCTCGGTGCAAAAACTGTCCTGACTCTGTCTCTCTCCCCCTCTGTTCATGCGGCGAGAAGGAAGCGGTCTTCGTCGGTGTCCAGCAGCAGCAGCGACGACATCGACGGCCTTCTGGACTCCGCTAGGCGCAAAGTGAAAAGGTCGTCGGAAGGCGAAAGGGCCTCGTCAGACTTTGAGCGGCAGAGGTGAGCGACCTTTACTGTTCTTGACCAACGCACGTTGAATCGACACGTCGCTTTGCGGTGCGCAGGCGAGTTGCATTTTCTTTGCGCAATTGCAGGTAGCGGGAACAGAATGATCCGGTGTCAGAACAACACTTAATAGTGATATGAACATTGATTTGTGGGTCTTCAATAATGAAACGTCACTGATAACAATGACGATCGTGCCCTAGTGAACCACCTAACGAGTCACACCAAACACTGCGTAGCTGATTTCATGTCAAGGCCATGTGTGTTTGAACCGCAGGTAGTTAACTGCATGGGTTGCCCAACAGAGAACCACAAGCCTATATTTCTGTAAAGTTTCAGTCTCCTGTGGATGTTTTAGGCACATCTGTGTAGCAGGTAGAGAAAGCAAAACGGACTGTGAACAAACAGTTTTGTGATTTATATGCAGTGCACCAAAGCCGCGGCTGATGCAAAAGGTCATCACATTGACTGTATTCGAGAGGGGAGAAGGAGCACGGAACCTATTGGAAATAACATCCTACATGCATCAAAGCGCATAGTGAAAAGAAGGTTAAACATACGTGTCATACACTAGCTCTAAAAATCATAAGAACAAGTGCTTAAAGTTCCCAGATAATAATCGTTGCAATCGTTTGCACTTATTCAGCACTGAGTCTCTCTTCCTTGCTCTTGGAGCAGCCTTCCGATTCTGATATTATTACCAGGCCTTAGTTGCACAAGAGAGCGAGGCAATTCCTTTATCCCTGATGGCTGGCTTTGCCACAAATCTTAGTAGCTCTATGGCTGAACTCGATATACTTAGAGGCCTGTCTGACCATGATAGGAGAAGATTAATTCAGTGCCATTTGAGTTTTTCTTCCGGAAGGCTTTCATAGAAAGTGATATGAACTTGAAGCTGATTCGGTGTCTCGACTTCACTGATAACTTGTCAAGGGCAGTGCTAAAGCATCTTAGGACATACACGGAGTAACAAAGGCAACCCAGAAATGCTGAAAAATAAAAACTTGAAGCACCTCAGAAGACGAACAAAGTACAGATGGTCGTGAAAGTTTACTGCAAAAAAAAAAAAAAATTGCTATAAGTTTCAAGTGAAGACAACCCTCTTGAATAAGAGCACGTGTAAAAATTATTTCTCACTTATTTTCTTGGGTAGTTCTCAATGCCAATACTATAATACAAAGTCTTTATTTCTCTAGGGTGTCACAAATAATTGGTGTATATGCAACCTATTCAAAACATGCACCAATCGGGCTTTGGATTGAAAAAAGAAGCCATTTGCGTCTGGAGTGCTGAGTTGTGGTCACATGTCACAAGTGAGCCACTTCGCATTACGCAGTAGTTGAGTTGCGTGCAATGACTGCATTGCCCAAAGCTGAGAGATTTGCTCTTCCAGTCGTGGTCTTCTTTTGTAAACAGTGGAAAAATCTACTTTCGCACTCATGTCTTTTCGTGGACTCCCTTTTTGAACAAAGGTCATCGTAAGAAAGTTCATTGTGTGCATGTGTCAGTACTACAAGACTGCCACGTCACAGTTTCGCGATGTGGATGGTGTCATTTTTATGTATGAAATTGTGATGCATTAGATCCGTGTTTCGAAGCAACAAATGACAATTTAACTGTTTTGCTTTGTCTTTGTAGTGTAATATTCAAGTTGTCAGCAATCCAGAAAATATATAATAATAATAATAATAAAATACAAACATCTCTTGGAAAGGGCTTAGCAGTTATATAGACATTGTTTGCAGGAAGCTGTAAATTACTCACCTGCATGAATTTGCACTTTTGTGCATATTTACCAGAAACATTTAGTTCCACCTTGGCAGCAGTGGTGTGTTTCGGGGCTATAAATAGAATGCTTGGTGCCCTCTATGCAGTGGCAGAAGAAAGAAAATGTGTTGGAGTGTGACATTCATGATTAAAGGGAGGGGGGGGGGGGTTGTTTTTTACTGGTAGATGGGTTTGAACCCACGCCCTGAGGGCCTGAAGGTAATAGCCCCAATTATACTCTACACACTTAGGCCTCCGAAATCGCAGCATACAGGAAGCTTACGGGTGCCTTCTAGTCACATTACAAAACCAAGTTCGAAGAAAAATGCTTTACGGGAAAGTTATGTTTTTGGTGTAGTGGGATAAAAGACCTCTGCAGAACATGATGTAAAATCTTGTAATGCCATCTCGTACGTGTTTTACCATGTCACTTAGCACTACGTGCTGCGTTCGCTTTGTTGTCACTAATAAATATAATGTGGCCGTGTATTGTGAGAATGCTTGAGGAGCAGTGCACGTTGACAACTGTCGAGGAGAGCAGCAAGGATTGCAGTTTGTCCTTCAGCACCACCAACTACTTATCATTGCAGAGTGGAATGGCTGCATATTATTTTTTTTGTGTGCCTAATGGAAGGCTTGTGTAGTTTAGATCAGAAATGAAGCAGCTGTACCTAAAAAAATCTCGATATGATTGGCAACATTACTTGGAAGGCTACCAAGTGAACTTCGTCGTCCATATGGACCAACTTTTTGTGTCACGGTAATTATTTTCCCCTTGTACTTGATGAAAACTAGGTGTGAGACAACCTCTTTCGGGTATGGAACAGTTGTTTTCGCGGTTTGGCGGATGATATACCTGTGTGGTCACTCTAGGCACTTAGGGGAACAAGTTTCTGGAACCACTGCCTCCTAAGACTAGAGCAGCAGAAAGTTCAAAGTAGTGCATCAGAAGTAGGGTCAGCTTGCGTGAGAATTTATGTAGTAGTGGTAAATACTATGTGTAAATATATCTTTCAAGGTTTACAGAAGAGAAGTTGTTTATTCAAGAGGATCTCTCTCGCAAGTATTCAAGAGTGGAAACCGTGTAACCTTATGCACAGTGCTTCAAAGAGATTGTGCTATTATTAGTGCATTAATACGGGGAAAGGGCCCTTTGCTTTGATACATTAAATACAGGGAATTAAGGCATCACTTGGAAATTGAAATGAGCATGTGTGTTTTGTAAGCGTGCATTCTTTTTATGGCAATGCCAGTAAAGCTAGTTTGCTGTCCTGTAGAAAAAAGTCACAGCTTTGTCGCAAAGGCGAAGCGATGAACGCGATAACAGATTGGGAGATCACGCACCGAATTGCAAGCAGATCGAAACGTGCCCCACGCTTCTCACGCAGAAATGACGCACGAAACGTACTCACATGTACAGATGAACGCAAATAAGCGTCTCAGTTGTTACTTCACTGTGTCTGAAAAGCGCCCTTTATGAAAACAAAGACTCTGCAACCATTGCAGGGAGCTTTGTGTGCCCGTTAACTACTACAAAAACATTCTAGTGAAAGGCCAACGCCAGCCAAGACTTACGATCGATCGTCCCCACCGCGAGATAAGGGCGCGCGAGCGAGTGTCCACCTTCTCCACTTTGGGCAAAGTACGTGTGGGAGATGAGAACACGCGCCGCCGCGCGCTCGTTGCGCCATCTTGCTGGTAATGCTGAAAGCACGATAGTTCCCTCCACCCCCCCAAAGATGGCCGTTACCAGCGGTAAGTGGTACATATAAATAGCTTGCCATTTGAACGTTGAAGGAGGTGCTGCTCGGTCACTCAGCGGTTAACGCCTCGCATTCACGACTCCGGTGTTCCACGTTTGATTTCGCACGCCAGAGTCTTTTTCAGGATTTTTTTCTTTCTTGCGTTTTCATATGTATAGATACGTATACATATACGGTGAGTGACGGTGATGCCGACGCTGGCGGCAAAATTTAGCGGAGAGTGTTCATTTAATTGCTATCGCAATAAAATCAGATTGGGGAGACTGTATAATGAACAGCTTTATGGTAGTTTGATAATGCACACAGCACTGAAAATAGGCGCTATCCACAGATCAAACCAGTATGCATGTATTAGATCTCTGGAGAAATCCCAGAAGGGTAATGAAATTGTGTATGAAGTGTTAAATATATACAACTAAAACCAGATACGAACTGTCAGACGTTTATGAAAGTCAAGGTCGTACCTGCGCTTAGATGGAGGTAGCTGCTCATGGAAGAAACTAAGCAGTGAGAAGCTGCAGACACGTAATTTTGAAGGTAACATTCTCTTTAGATGTACTTGTAGTGACAAACGCATGTCAATCGCATAATATACCAATCGCAATTGTAGCGTAGAACACGTATTAAAGTGTTGGGCGATAAAAGGCGGGATAAAATTCGATACGTTATTCTGAAACATTTGGTATTCTGAAATTCGCAGTGAAATATCTTTATAATAAACCGACGGACATTTAACCTCTTCAGACCTGAGGAAAAACTAGCCAGGGTAAACTCTTATAAACTCTTTATTGCAACCATTTGAAAGCCCCGAAACACTTTTCGGAAGAAAAAAAAACGAAAGCTGTAATTTCAGACGAGAAATTAGCTGTACCCACTTGGGTACAACAGGCCTAACATGAGTGAAAGTCAAGAAAGCAGTTTCTGTTGAGAAGGCAAAGAAACAGGTCACATTTAGTGCATCTAACGCGTGTTTTTCCGCTGCAACCTTGATTGCGGCATCTCATCTGAGACTTTAAGGGCACATGCTCTGGAAAATGCCCGTACTTGTCCAATCGGACCTCACTTGGCGGCATGGAAGTCACCTTGGTACGTTTAGGGAGTGCAGCAGTCTCGCCAATTTCAAGCTCCTGCTCTACTTCGTTTACGGCTTCTTGCATTTCGTCGACGTGGGCGCGAATTAGCGTTTCCGCAACTCGGTTCTTAAACTCGAATTGATCGAGAATATCTTTTGCTGCAACGTCCATGAGTTTGCAGTCATTCCTGTATTCAATCCAGGCATTTGCAACCGCTAGGTCTAGAAAGTGGGCAAATACCCTAATGGTCCACTTCTTCGTACGCATTTTTGTCCTGTAATAGGACACATATCTGTCCGCAAGATCAACACCGCCCATGTTTTTGTTGTATATTTTGATGCAGTGCGGCTGCGGCACATCTACTTTCTTCCTCTCTTTCTTCGACCATCTT